TATTTTAATATAAAAGTAATGAATAATGTATTTATGATAGTAAAAATGAATTTTCAATTATATGATTCTTTCAGGGTATCTTTACTACATCCAGGAAACTTTTTTCTATAATCTTGAACTACCTGAAAATATATCAAATTATAAATAATTAAATGAAAAATAAATATTGTATAACTAGAATAAAGGATTATTACTTGCAAAACAAATTGCTTTTGTTTTTAATTTTTCGTGAACTTTTCATTGAAATCCGTCATAAGTTTGCCGTATCGTTGACTACTTTTATTGATTCTACCACTTTTTTTCCTTCAATGTACCCTTCATGTTCGTTCCATTTGTCTGGCTGAACTTTCAAAAAATCATTAGACATATTAAATTTTTCAAATTATTCCCTAGAATATATAATGGTAATTCTTTGCTAAGAAAGTGTTGTAAATCTTCAAATTTGAGGATGAACTTTCTCTGCGATTCTTTTTCAGGAGTACCATGCATAATTTTTTCAGCCATTTTCTTCTTGTATCATTACTTAACCTTTCATCAAAAATTAAAAAAGCCGCACACTCTTCACTTAAGTACCTCAAATGATTAATAAATTTCATAATTGCTTTTTCAGCGACTTCTTTATCGTCATTTTTATAAAAATATAATTTTTTTTAAAAACCCAATGTCATTCATTGTGGACGTAGCAGCATTTGAACATAAAAACCACGATTCTACGTAACACTTTATAATAAAACAGCAGATTCGTTTTAAACATTTATCTTCGCGTTCAGTAATTTTAAACTGGTGTCGGAATAAAAATAGTTTTAAATAATACAATGATTTGGTCATCCAACGTGGGAGATGACAAGCACCTGGTGTTTTAAAGTGTGTACCTTTAGGTGACACACCACCTAAAAATATTATTATTAGTTCGAGAAATTCTTTATAATCATCTCTAGGTAGTTCTTCTCCGAGTTTAATTTTACAAAATTGTATCATCTCATCAGCAATTCCCATTAAAATATTTTTTCCATGTTCATCAGTAGTTCAAATTAAATAAGAATTTTTATCATTATTTGGCCATTCTTTTTTCAAATTTTTAAACTAAGTAATTTCAGGTCCTGTACTTGTTGCTAATTTTAATTCAGTAAATACGCCTTGCAAAACTATTTCGTAAACATGCTACCTACATGCTAAGAATAAAATATCTCTATCAACTTTTTGTTCTAGGAGATGGCGTATGCCATTTAATCGACAAGTATTGCTCGCAGTTGTGTCAAATACAAAAGCAACGTTTTTTTCTAAAATAGACCATTCCTCTAAAGTTTCATAAATAGCAGAAGTTATTTCAATTCCTGTACCTTAATATATATGAGGGACTCCGAACAATTGACTAACATTGTGTGCTGTAACAATTATAGGAAGTCGATCAACTTTAGATGTTCCAGTTATATCTGGTAGTAATTTAGAATCCCAGTGGAGTACTAATGATTTTGTCTTTAAATGGTCAAATTTGCATTTTAAATCTTGAAAAATATATTTATGAAACTTTTCTCTAGCAGATTTTATTGACGCCCTGTTAATAACATACACACTTGGATCGACGGAAACAGCATCTAAAACTGCTGTTAGTATGTGAACGCAATCTCTGACGCTCACTTTACACTTGTCAACTACAGCCGCTAAATGCTTAGACATTATTTCTTTCCTAGCTCTTTTTTTTTTCATCAGAATCAAGTAAAATTTTTTTTTTGGGTGTTCGATGTACTAGGAAAACAAGGATTTTGTAATTCTAACAGGTCATCAGAGTTTGAGGAATCTGACAAAGATGAATCAATTTCGGAACAATACACTAAAAAAAAAAATAAAAGTTATCTTATAAAGGAAAACATTTTTATTTTATAACGTTATAAAAAAGTATGTTTTATTAATAAACGTTTCTTTTTAATAATAAATTATTGTGCATCAGTAGAATTATATTATTCGTGAATAAAGTAATAAAAATAATGAAATATAAAATAAAAAAAAAAAATTAAAAAATATTACGTCTATATGTCACTTTCGGAATTAAGGTATGGTATTTTATCAATGTTAATAATACATCTTAAATTAAATCAAATTTATTAATTAAAAACTTCAAGTTTCAATTATTTATTAGAATTGTCATAAGTTCGCATTACTTACTTATGATAAATTTTAATTTTAATTGATGTTTTTGTTTCATTAATAATTAATACATAAAAAATTTACCTGAAGATTTATTTCATCATAAGCTCTATTTCTTCTTTCGGCAAAATTTGTAGACCTTTTTTCAATTCGTTCTTCAAGTTTTTGATGTTTTCTATCTATTCCCAGCATATAACCAGATCTTCCTTTTGTCCTTTGAGCAATTAAAAACTTTTTGTCGCTTTCTATTTTCATTAAATTAAGAGCATCAGCAAGTGCTATATCAAAAATATCATCCAACTTATTTACAAATTCTTCTTCTTTTTTTTTATCAGCAGCTAATTTTCTAGTGGCATGTTTTTGTAGGTTTTGCTATTCATTATACAATGATTCAACTTTTGCGGTTAAGTGATATTCTTCTTTAACTGGAATACGCGCTTTTTCCCAGAATATAACAATTTCACGAACAACTAATTTTGCACTATCGTGAACATTTAATTTTACATTTCGTATGTTAAAAAAAAGTACACTTAAAACTTGTCTTATAGAAGGTAGCTTGCTGCCAACAATTTGATTCGACATGTTACCAATTAAAAATATTTTACTCGATTCTCTGAGGTTCATTTTTGATGATGATGCCATAATACAGTATAGAGCACTTAATAAGTTGACTGACAAGCTTTTTATTACTAAATGTAAATGTGAGTTAATTTAATGCTCATACCAGTCAACTTGTTAAACGGCCGATTTTAAAATTAGCTTTTCTCGATATCAATTTCAGATAAGAACATTTGATGAATACTTTTCATGTAAAGGTAACATGTCATATAATAATAATAGAACAGTGAAGTTGTAAACAACGCGCGTTTGCGATAATATCTTTTTACAAAAATAACAATAGTTATGTGGCTGCGCAGCGTACATTTTGTANTGTCTTATAACGTCAATCTCTTTCATTGCTTTATTCTGAGATAGATATTTATATTTAATTTTATTAAAATAAATTTCTTTATTTTGGACACTGAAAGCCTCGTTACCCTATTCAAACTATGCCCATTATCTGAATATTATGTTTTTATTAACTAAATTATAATTTTAAAAACTTATAAAGTAAAGTTTCAAAGTCTACCTTCACTTAATTTCCTAATATTTTTAATTTTCTATTTAGACCAGATAAAAGTTAAGAAAAGTATAATATAAAACGTTTCATACTGATAAACAAATAACACTGGATTCTTTTTGCGGAAGAGTAATATTAGTTATTTTTCCTGATAATAGTTCATTCGTTTCTGTATAACCTTCAGCATTACAAAAAATCACTGTTGGCAGTTCATTCATAAAGACATATGTAGGATAAACATGAATATGGATACAGTGACAGCCTGTTTTGTAACTATTTGTCTCTTCAAAACAAACCCGTTCTATAAATCCTACTATCTAAAAAAATATAATTTATGTTGTGCTCAATAACAAGATTTAAGCATCTTTTATTAACTTTAACAACATTAAAATAAGAAAATTACTTTTATGTAATATGGATTGTTATGCAATTCAGAAGGTAAACATTTTAGTAATTTTGTGATATTTTTATTTTGCATTTCGCTCCAAATGAATGGTTCAGTACATGTGAAATATCTAAATATGCTTAAATTTTATAAATGTATTTAACTTTTGCTATATAACTTGCCCGTTCAATTTTAAAAATAATTCATTTTTTTCTGTATGTAGAGCATAAACTGGAATATTTAAAATTTCGTTAGGGTTTATAGAACCAATGCATTTGACTTCAGTCATGTCGTTAGATATTATATACAATTTAATGTTACACCATAAATTATTGTGGACCTAATGTAAATATATAAATAAACTATAAAATTTCTCAAAAGCATTACTTTTAAAAAATCTACCTGAACATTGCTACGTAATGTCACTTCCATACTTCCTCCCACTACAACGGTATCAGTTATTAAAACCCAAGGACGAAAAATTTGTTTAAAAATTGGCATGTTTTCAAAATAACGTTTTGAAGTGGTATTCATATTTAATTCAAAATATTTTTCAGGTTGAGTGTCATTAAACTAAATTTTTAGCAAATTACAAAATCTTATTTTACCAATAATAAATTTTTCAATTACTCTAATTATCAAGTTGCAATCATTAAATAAATGTTTTCTTCCAATCAAAAACATTATATCAATTTTTAATTTTCGTATAAGTTTTAGATTTTCATCATTCTTTAATACAATACTTGAAATTTTTTCTGAATTATACATCTAAATAGAAAATTAATTACAAAAATATAAAATCATCAAATTACTTATACAAACTTGTAATGGTGTGTTTTCAAAAAATATTATCAAATCAAATCCTAATCTATTTTTAATTACAAACGGTACTAGATTAGATGCAATTATTTCAAATTCTTTTTTATTAAAAATTGCTTCTGTATAATGTTCAATTAAATTAGACACGTCTTCAATTGATAATTTAGTCAAAGTAACTTCTAAAATATCCTTATGAAAAATAATAAGTTTAAAAAGCATTAAAAAAATAACTAATAACAATAAATAATTATGTTAAACCATACGTAAGATTTCAAATGAATTTTTAATGTTTTTATTTTATCTCCAGTCTCGTTTGCAGAAGATTCTTCAATTTTGTTATTATAATATTCTATCTAATGTAAATATCGTATATCAAAAAAATTATTTTTTTTATATAAAAAACAATAAAGTTTCATCCAATAAAATTGATTTATTATTAAAATAAATAAAGCTTAAAAATATATTGTTAACATCTAGGAAGTGTGAAAATAATGATATATACATTTGTGACTAGAATAACTAATTGAAAAAAAATAAACATCAATAGAAATAGAAATCAATAAAAATTTATCATAATATTCAATTTTAAATAGGATTTATGGTATCGTTTTTGAAGGACAAAATAAATATAAAAATTAAGTCTTAAAAACCAAATTAAAAATATTTATACTGTCATGTTATCATAAATGACTTTGATAAACGTTCAAAATGATAGCACACTCCTGTATATAATCGTCATTTCGAACTATATATTTTAGGAGTAAAGTACCTTTTTTAATTGAATAGTAGAAATTGAATCAACAAAGTTAAATAAAGATACCAATTTAATNATTAGATTATTTAAGCTATACTTTTGTTAAGATTATATTGTTGGCGTTGTTTTGTTTAGTTAAAAGGTCACGGTTCCAGTTTCGTTTGAGTCGACGTGGTGGGTTATCAGGTATTGTAAAAGTATGCATTTTTTTTATTAAAGGGTTTGTGTTTGTGTTAAGTTTTGAGTGGAATCTAATGTAGTGTAAAGTAGCGAGTTTTTTGACTGATTTGATGTTTAATTCTTTGTGTAAGTTGTTGTTTGTTACATACCAGGGCGCGCTAGTTATCATTCTTAATACTATGTTTTGGAAAGTTTGTATTAGTCGGATATTTGATGGCTTGGCTGGTCCCCATATCTGGATGCCATATGACCAGACTGGTCTGATTAATGAGTAGTTTTGTTTTAAGCGGTAATTTGGATTTGAGAAGTTAACGAGAAAGACATGAAGTCTGCAGTTGGCTTTTTTTCTTTTGTCTTTAAGGTGAGGTCTCCAAGTTAATCGTTTGTCCGATATTATACCTAGGTATTTGGTTATTAATTATTATGTTGTTAAATGTTATAGCTGGACATTTTTCAGAACGGAGAGCGAATGTTACATGACTTGATTTATTTTCATTAATTTTTATTTTCCAGTTCTTGAACCATGATTCCATAATGTTTACATGCGTTTGAAGGTGGTGGGCTGCTTGAGAAATATTACTATGAGTAGAAAGTATAGCCGTATCGTCGGCAAACGTAGCGAGAAGAGTATCAGTAGTCTGGGGTATATCTGCAGTAAATATATTGTTAAGATCGGGAGACAGGTCGCTTCCTTGGGGGACGCCTGCTTGAATTTTGTAAAAAGGAGAATTTGCACAACCGTGTCTTACTGTGAACTTCATTTCACTAAGGTAGGACTTAATTATTAAATATAAAGGTGCTGGAAATATGTGTTTTAATTTGAAAAGCAGTCCGTTATGCCACACTCTATCGAAGGCCTGGGCTACGTCGAGGAATAGTCCAGTACAGTATTTGCGGTTTTCTAACGCTGAAGCTATTGTATCAGTCAGCCTATGAACTTGATGTATGGTAGAGTGTCTCTCACGAAATCCAAACTGAGTGTTTTGTAAAATGTGATGCTCATGCAATATTGGCCTTTTCAGCAGAAGTTTTTCAAACAGTTTACTTAGTGTAGGTAATAAGCTGATCGGTCTATATGATGTTGTCATATTTTTTGGTTTTCCTGGTTTAGGTATAAGAACTATTAGAGCTTTTTTCCAAATTGATAGGAAGTAAGAAAGTCGCATCATACTATTATATATGTATGTAAGAAGGAGAAAACCATTTCTTGATAAGTTTGTTAGCACTTTATTTGTGATGAGATCATACCCAGGAGCTTTTCCTTTTGGTAGTTTTTTGATAGTTGCTTCAATTTCTCCAGGACTGAATGACTTGACAGGAAGAGACATAGGTAAAGAACATGATAGAAAGTCATTAACAGTATTAAATGATTTGAATCAGGCACTATGTCGTCATGTGATTTAAATGTATTAAATAAATGTTCAACAAAGGTTGTAGCTTTCTCTTCGTCTGATATAGCAAGAGTACCGTTATCTTTTTGAAGAGGTGGGATAGTTTCTTTAGTTTGAGTCAGTCGTTTTGTAGCTCTCCATAATGTTGAGTGATTGAATGTAATTTTAATATTGGACTGATTTGAATTTTTGAAGTTGGTTTTTTAGGTTATTAGCTAATTTGTTATAGTTGTTTGAACAAGGGGTAACGAGTGTTTTGCCAAATAGACCTTATTCTTCTTTTCTCACTGATAAGAGCTCTTATATGAACTGGTAGTTTTACTTCGTTTCTACCATTACTCTTACTTAATGAGGATGATCTGTTTGCTGAGTTCTTAAATAGTGAGAGAAAGTTTTGAGCCGCGTTTTCAATGTCTTCATGGGTTTTAAGTGGAATTTTTAAGTTAATATTTCTATCCAAATTGATTTTGAATTTATCCTAGTTAATAGTTCCTTTTGTGAGTGATGGTCTTGTATTATAAGAAACTTCGCCACCAATAGTGAGTATAACAGGTGAGTGGTCGCTGGTGATGTCACAAATATTTTCTATGTTTGTACTTCGCTGGTTTGGAACATTTCTTACAAAAAATTTGAGTATATCAGGGTTTCGGTTTGCGTGGGTAGGCCAGTAAGTAGGTCATGTTGGTGAAATAGTTGAATAGTGTTTATTGTTGATAACCGTAAGCAAATGTTTTCCTCTTTGATTATTACCAAAACAACGCAACCTTGGATGTTTGGAGTTGAAGTCCCCTCCCGCTATAAATGAGTTACCTAGAGAGTTGAAAAACTACTGGAAGCCATTTTGACGTATACTATTATAAATTGGTGGGCAATATACCGCTGATATAGTGAATGGTATGCTATTGATTTTTATAGACACATTTGAAGCTTGTATATATAATTTTTGGTACGGACTTATTTCATCATGTTGTATGTTTCTTGAAATGTAAATGGCGGCCCCAGCATGAGCAGTGTCGTCAGGGTGGTTAGTTTTATAAATAGTGTAGTTGTAAATGTTAAAGTAATTATTGTCAGTAAAATGAGTTTCACTTATCAGTGCTATGTCTATTTTGTTGTGGTTAAGTACAGTTTGAAATTAATTTTTGTGTAGATAAAGACCATTAGCGTTCCAAAGTAGAATTTTGATGATAGGATTTGTTGATGTAGGCATTTTAGTCATTTTTTAAATAATTTTATTAATTACAGTAGTTAGTAAGGATATCAAAGGATTAATTAAAGATTTTAAGTAATTTAAGAATGAGGAAAGTTGTTTAGTGAGTTCATTGTTATTTGTATTATTTGTTTCTATATTTTGTGACTTGTTTGAATAGTTGGTCTGTTGAGTTACTTTTGCGTACAATTTGTGTATGTTTGGTTCATACACATTAGTGTTTTCTAATTGGGTGTTACCAGTGGGCACCTGTACATTGTATAAATTCTTATGATCAAAAGGTTGATTTAAGATTTTGGATTGGGTGTTTTCCGTTGTTGTTCATTTTTATACACAGGTCAACCTCTGTAATTCGCTGGATGAGCTCCTCTACATAATACATATTTGGTTGGTCTTAAGTTTTTTGACAAATGTGATCCGTCACATGTGAACTCTGTGGCAGCTAAAGGCTATCTGAGTAAATATATTTTAACATTTTTTTTTTGGTTATCTTTAGTTACATATTATTCATGAATTATTTACTATGTAATACTTTTTAAGTTCATCCCTTATGCCTTGTAAGGGGTCAACTTTGTTTTTTTAAATGGAAACAATTAATTTAATAGTAAATGGCATTTGAATTTTTAATATATCTTTATTCGTTTATTAGATATAAACATTTAAAGTTTCAAATTTTTAAGTTAATATACATGTATAATATACAAGATATTACAAATATAGCATTGTTATTATCAATGGTATTCTAATAGTGGTTATATTACTAAGACTATATATTGTCCAGTATGGATGATGAACAAAACAGCCAAACACCTTAAGTATAAAGTAATGCTAATGTTATTGAAAATGTATAGAAACTATATAATTACTAATAATACAATTATAATTAATTATAATTCATTATTAAAGACAATTCATTTAATCAGTGAAATAGTCAATCACTCCAAGTACTATCAAGGTCCATTAATGTTTTCATATAATCAGCAAACATTTTTTTCAAAAAATCAAATATATTTGAAAGTCAAAAATAGTGAATGGTCTTTACCTATTCAATTAGAAAATAATGGATCGGATTTGGTCAAGTCCAAAAAAAAAAACTTTATATATAATGTTATTATTTTACATAATACTACATTATACATATGTATAATAGTAAAATAAGTAGTTAATATTATACAAGATATAAGTTTTATGTAGGTAATTTATGTTTAAATATATTTATTCTGTAAGTAATTGAGTGGGTTAAGATAAAAAAATCACTCTGTATATTGCAATCATAAGGTTATTTTTGTAAGAATGGAAGACATTTTTTTAAACAAACATTATGGAAAAATTGTTGTTCCAACAATTTGTAATACAAAATTTTAGTGAAAATAAATTTAAATTTAAGTATTTTGATATTATTAAAATAATTTCCAATAGTAAAGGCTAATAGTCAAAGTTGCCAATGCTTTATTAACAACAAAATTATTAAACTTTTAAAACATTTATTTAATTACATTTACGTCTATTGTCCATGGTTCAAATTTAGTTTTTAAAAATGATTTTATTTTCTTTGGCTCAACAAAAGGTTCCCACAAAGCCTTTTTTTTATTATAATAACTAAGAATAAATGTAAGTTTTCCTTTAAAAAATATCTGAAATCCATAAAAATTATTATTACATTAACTAAAAACAAAAAATTTTACTTACATTTGATTTCCTTATTTTAATAGACCCTTGAAAGGATGTAACAATCATAATGACAGGTACTTTAAAATTAT